GCTATCAAGAAGCTAAACAAAAACTGAAAGGAAAAACTGGAGAATGAGATATTCATAGGCGGCTTTAAAAAGCTCTGACAGGCTGGACTCTGATGGCTCTGATGGCTCATGCCTGTCATCCCAGTACTTTGGGAGGTCGAGGCCGGTGGATCACCTGAGGTCAGAAGTTCAAGACCAGCTTGGGCAACATGGTGAAACCCCGACTCTACTAAAAACACACAAAATAATTAGCTGGACATGGTGGCAAGTGCCTGTAATCCCAGCTACTCAGGAGGCTGAGGCAGGAGAATCACTTGAACCTGGTAGGTGGAGGTTGCGGTAAGCCGAGATCATACCAACACAAAACTCCATCTCCAAAAAAAAAAAAAACCTCTGACATATTCCAGAGAACCTAGAAGGCCATGCACATGCACAGAGCTGTATACACGTCCAGGAAAGACCTTCGCAACTCTCTACGTGACCTTGAGGTTCTGTTAACACACGAAGTAAAGGCTAAAGTAGTTGTAAACTGCTCGATGGGACACTGATGGTGTGCCCTATAAAGAGTTCCCCAACAAAAATGTGGAGATTTACTGGTTTAAGACATTTAAGAAAATTTCTGTCCAATGATCACCTTGTTCAGTAAACTACCTATGCAGAGACTTCAATGGCCATACACACAAAATACAGACTGTATAGAATTACAGGAAAGGAATTACACAAGTCCAGGAAAGTTGCTAAACCAGTAACAACAATAAAACAATGTCTGGCTCATCTAAACTAGTTCCAGTGGGATAGGAAATTAAGAAACTTCAAATACAGTATGTAGTCAAAGATGATAAACTTGCAACAGTGGAGAAGCAGATCACTGCTTTTGAGGACTATGATGTAGTCCATGGATGTGGCTGCTTTCAACAAGATCTAAAATCCATCCTGGATCGCTGCACTTAAATAAAAGCTTGAGGTTGGGCGCGGTGGATCATGCTTGTAATCTCAGCACTTTGGGAGATAGAGGCGGGTGGATCATGAGGTCAAGAGATTGAGACCATCCCGGCCAACATGGTGAAACCCCCGTCTCTACTAAAAATACAAACATTAGCTGGGCGTGGCGGCATGTGCCTGTAGTCCCAGCTACTCAAGAGGCTGAGGCAGCAGAATTGCTTGAACTCGGGAGGCAGACGCTGCAGTGAGCCAAGATCGCGCCATTGCACTCCAGCCTGGTAACAGAGTGAGACTCCGTCTCCAGAGGAAAAAAAAAAAAAAAAAAAAGCTTGAAAGATTAAAAAAAGAAACCATGTCTGGCCAAGTATGGTGGCTCATGCCTATAATCCCAGCACTCTGGGAGGCTGAGGTGGGCACATCTCTTGAGCCCAGGAGTTCAAGACTAGCCTGGGCAATATGATGAAACCCTGTCTCTAAAAAAAATACAAAAATTAGCCGGGCATGGTGGCAAGCGTCTGTGGTCCCAGCTACTTGGGAGGCTAAGGTGGGAGGATCTCTTGAGCCCGGGAGGTTGAAGCTGCAGTGAGCTGAGATTGTGCCACTGCACTCCAGCCTGGGTGACAGAGCAAGACCCTGCCTCAAAAAACAAACCAAACCCAAACAAATCATGTCTGAGAGAGAGAATGGGGGTGGGGAGGTAGGGGGTGGGATCTAAATACAACTTATTTTAAAATATCCAATTTTTGGCCAGGCGCCATGGCTCATGCCTATAATCCCAGCACCTTGGGAGATCGAGGCAGGTGTATCACGAGGTCAGGAGGTCAAGACTAGCCTGGCCAAGATGGTGAAACATCGTCTCTACTAAAGATACAAAAAAATTAGCTGGGTTTGGTGGCAGGCGCCTGTAATCACAGCTACTCGAGAGGCTGAGGCAGAGAACTGCTTGAACCCAGGAGGTGGAGGTTGCAGGGAGCCGAGATCACGCCACCGCACTCCAGCCTGGGTGACAGAGCGAGACACCAACTAAAAAAAAAAAAAAAAAAAAGATTTTTGTTTTTTTTCTTTTCATTTTGAAAACGTTTTTTTGAGATGAAGTCTCGCTCTGTCACCCAGGCTAGAGTACAGTGGCGAGATCTCGGCTCACTGTAACCACCTCCTCCCCGTTTCAAGCAATTCTCTGCCTCAGCCTCCCAAGCAGCTGGGATTACCAGGAGCCCGCCACCATGCCTGGCTAATTTTTTTGTATTTTTAGTAGAGATGGGGTTTCACTATCTTCGCCAGGCTGGTCTTCAACTCCTGACCTCACGATACACCTGCCTTGGCCTTCCAAAGTACTGGGATTACAGGTGTGAGCCACCGTGCCCAGGCCAAAAATCTAATTTTTAATAAAAAAAAGATATACGATATCTTTTTTTAAAGATATACGAATAAACAGTAAAATACAGCTCATGAACAGGGAAAAAAGTCAACAGAAACCATCCCTGTAGAAGTTTAAAAATTGCATTATTATAAACAGCCAACATATAATACTACTGCCTTTTTCTTTTCAAAGGGAACTCTTCAGAACATATTACATGCCTATCTGGCTCAAGAAACAAATCAACGTTACTGTGTTTATACTGAAAAGCACTGATGATTTTAGGTACTATTGGGATCCCAGTTTTTTGCTTTTTTTGAGACAGGGTCCTACTCTCACCCAGGCTGGAGTGCAGTGGTGCAATCTCGGCTCACTGCAACCTCTGAGTCTCCCATGCTCAAGCGATCCTACCACCTCAGCCTCCTGAGTAGCTGGGACTATAGTTGCACGGAACAATGCCAGCTAATTTTTGTATTTTTCACAGAGTTCGCATTTCGCCATGGTGCCCAGGGCCTGGTCTCAAACTCCTGAGGCCCAAGCAATCCACCCATCTTGGCCTCCCAAAGTGCTGGGATTTACAGGCATGAGCCACAACCTTCTCCAAAGTGACATACCACTCACTATCATGAGCAGCAAAAGGGCCACAGAGAACATTCTTTCAGAAGGCTCTCTTTCAAGATTTAACCACAAATCTGACATCGCCCCATCCATATGTATTTCCTTTAATCTTTTTGAGAAGAGATGGCCTGATCAGGTATATATCCTCAGAACGCATCTCTAGTTTGACATCCATGCTCAGGTCTCTGCAAGAGAGTACTGACCTAGTTTTAATTAGCATGTATCCATCTATCTATTCACAAATGTTTCCTGTACACCTGCTATATGCCAGGTGCTAAGCATCAAAGAATATATATACATACCAAGCTCTTATCAGAAAAGTTTACTCTTGAACTGTCAAACTAAGAGATGATATTTATGGACGAGTACAGTTCAGTATTCTTAGAGTTATCTAAATTTTTATCTCTTAAAAAAACTTTTCTTCAGCCAGGCACGGTGGCTCACACCTGTAATCCCAGCACTTTGGGAGGCTGAGGCGGGCAGATCACTTAAGGTTGGGAGTTTGAGACCAGCCTGGGCAACATGGCGAAACCTCTACTAAAAATACAAAACTTTGCTGGGCATGGTGGCGGGCACCTGTAATCCCAGCTACTCAGGAGGCTGAGGCAGGGAGAATTGCTTGAACCCGGGAGGTGGAGGTTGTAGTGAGCTGAGATTGCACCACTGCACTCGAGTCTGAGAGACAGAGCACGACTTCGTCTCAAAAAAATAAGATAAAATAACATTCCAGTAGAGTCCTCAGAGAAATAAATTTGATCTTTTAACTAAACCACAACAGTGAGTTAAGATTAAATCATTGTGCCGCTATGTGAAACTGATTTTACCAAACTGTTTTGGCATCATGCCAATGATCTGTATTGAGAAACATAAAAAACAGTACCAGGAGGTAATAGTTCATACTTAAGAGTACTCATTTAGTCAGATGCCATGCTAAATGCTTTGCATGCATTAATTCATTCAACCCTCACAAATAATCAAATTCCATGTAGCAAGTACCGTTTATTACTCTCATTTGACAGAGGAGGACACAGCTGACAGGATTAAGTAACTTAATTAAGGCCACAGTGGTAGAAACAGGATATTAACCGAGGGAAACTGACTCCAGAGCTCCTGTTCTTAGTAACTATGTTACACTGCCATTATCCATTAAGTAAGGATGTTAAGGTCTCTATTCATTATAGCCTTTCATGTTTTCTCTTTTTTAAAAAACAAACAAGGTCTCACTCTGTTGCCCAAGCTGGTATGCAGTCAGTGGCGTCATCACGGCTCGCTGCAGCTACACCTTGCCAGGCTCAGGTGATCCTCCCATCTCAGCTCCTCAGTAGTTGGGACCACAGGCGTGCACTACCACAACCAGCTAATTTCTGTATTTTTTGTAGAGACAGGGTTTCACCATGTTGCCCAGGCTGGTTGTGAACTTCTGGGCACAAGCTATCCATCCACCTCAGCCTTCCAAAGTGCTGAGATTACAGGCATAAGCCACTGGGCCTGGCCTAATGTTTTCTTAATACTTCTCAGGAGAAATTTTAATACTAGGAACGGCTCCTCGGCAATTGATTTGTTCTCGGCTTCTAAGAAGGAATAACTTAACTGACTACTCTTTTTATTTGAACTAGGTGCACTTAAGAGCTAGATTTACCACATCTACTATATAGACTTACAGTATATGTTTTTGGCTATCATACTTCTACTTCTAACTTGTAATGATTATCTCTTTATTCCACCAATTTATTTCCACCTAGTTCCCTATTTTTAAACAGTATTACGTTAATCTTTGTAAGCCAAACCCTTTTTGTAGGATAAGGCTTGGTACAAACAATAACTTGAATCCAACAAAACAGTTTACAGGGATCCAGATCCTTAAAAAGCTGTCTAGACTTATTAGATATCAAAGATGCTACTTTAATATTAGCAGTTTTAACACATGAACAGAAAATCAAAGTCAAGTGAAAGATCAGTATCCAGAAAAATTTTTTATGGATCCTTAAATATTCTTAATTCTTCTGAAGAACTCCGTTCATGGCATGACACATACTATAAGTTCTTCACTAACAGAATGAACATGACTGAATGACTATCTGAACCCCATTAAAGAAATAAGTACCTGACTTCAAGGGCTTTGATAGCTTCTAGCATTTGTAGAAACTCTGCTGCTTTCCATACATCATTGGCTTCTTCTTCTCCTTGTATCATTAATTTTGCTGTATATGTGAACTCAATTAAATGGCGAAAGGCCATTTTACTAACACCTGCAAAGAAGATGTACATTAGAGCATGTAATCATATTGACCTCAAATCTTACAATGTTTAGTAAAGAAAGAAAAGCCCAGGGCTTGGAGCTTGATTAGTATTTATTTTTGAAAACTATTTTCTGGCAGAATTCTCATTAGCAATATAATAATATTGCAGCTAAATTCCAACACTACCTAGCTGGAAAATCTTAAACTAAGATTTTTCCGGAAGATTTCTTGAGGCTCTTGGAGAACAGTTAAGCTTCTATCACTCAAATATATGAATTGGCTATTACATGTCAGACATGCTATATTTCTTGCCAGGGAGATTACAGCTGTGCCAACTCAGCTCCAAAATCTTCAATAGCTTTTCACAACTTAGCAAACAAAATTTAGTACCTCTCTGACTTTATTTCAAGGCCCTTCACATTATTTTCCTATTTACCTTTCCAAATTTTAAACTATATCACACACACACACTATATACTGTTTCTCAAACAAACCCTGCACTTTCTAATAGCTGACTTGCCTTTATTTTATTCATTTATTTTGAGACGGAGTTTCACTCTTGTTGCCCAGGCTGGAATGCAATAGTGTGATCTTGGCTCACCACAATCTCTGCCTCCCAGAGTCAAGAGATTGTCCTGCCTCAACCTCCCGAGTTCCTGGGATCACAGGCATGTACCACCACGCCCAGCTAATTTTGAATTTTTAGTAGAGACAGGGTTTCTCCATGTTTTTCAGGCTGGTCTCAAACTCCTGACCTCAGGTGATCTGCCCGCTCAGCCTCCCAAAGTGCTGGGATTACAGGCGTGAGCCACGGCACCTGACCTGACTTGCCTTTATTAACACCTTCCTAGTTGGATGCTTAATCATTTTATCTCTGATTATACTCATCCTACCACTCACCCCTTAAAGGTCCAACTCTAATGTCACATGTTCAATGAAACCTTTTAACATTTATTGTAATAAGAACATGAGATCTTAACACATTTTTAAGTGTACATTATTGACTACAGGTACAATGTTGTATAGATCTCTAGTTTATTCATCTTGCTCAATTGAAACTTTATGCCCATTGATGAGTAACTGCCCATTTCCTCCTCCCTCCCAGCTCCTAGCAACCCCTATTCCACTCTTTCAATCTATTTTAGATAGCTCATATGAGTAGAAGTGACTATTTTAGATTCCTCTAAAATGATAAATGGAAATACGCAGTGTATGTCTTTCTGTGCCTGGCTTATTTCACTTAGCATAATGTCCTCAAGGTTCATCCATGTGGTTGCATATGCAGAATATTCTTATTCTTAAAAGCTGAATAGTATTCCATGGGATACATATACTACGTTTTCTTTTCTTTTTTTTTTTTTTTGAGACGGAGTCTCGCTCTGTCACCCAGGCTGGAGTGCAGTGGCCAGATCTCAGCTCACTGCAAGCTCTGCCTCCCGGGTTTACGCCATTCTCCTGCCTCAGCCTCCCGAGTAGCTGGGACTACAGGCGCCTGCCACCTCGCCCGGCTAAGTTTTTGTATTTTTTTAGTAGAGACGGGGTTTCACTGTGTTAGCCAGGATGGTCTCGATCTCCTGACCTCGTGATCCGCCCGTCTCGGCCTCCCAAAGTGCTGGGATTACAGGCTTGAGCCACTGCGCCCGGCCTACTACGTTTTCTTTACCCATTAATCTATCGACGAGTATTTAAGTTATTTCCTCTCGTGGCTACTATAAATAGTGCTGCAATGAACATAGGAGTGCTAAAACTTCAAGATCCTGATTTCAGTCCTTTTGGATAAATGTTCAGTAAGTGGGATTGCTGAATTGTATGGTATTTTAATTTTTTGTGGAATATTCATACTGTTTTCCATAATGGCTGCACCTATTCCTACCAACATTGTGCAAGGATTCCAATTTATTTATATCCTCACCAACACTAGTTGTCTTTTGTCTTTTTTTTGAGAGCCATCCTGAAAAGCGTGAAGTGATACTTTATAGTGGTTTTGATTTGCATTTCCCTGATGACTAGTGACACTGAACATTTTTTTCATGTATCTGTTGGCCATCTGTATGTTTTCTTTGCAGAAAGGTCTATTCAAGTTCTTAGCACATTAAAAAAAAATTTTTTTAATTTTTTTTTGCATCATTTGGACTGTAAAGTTACATTTTTTAATTGAGTAGATTTTTTTTTTACGATCAGTTGTGGGAGTTTCTTATATATTTTTGGGATTCACTCCTTATCATTTATTTGGTTTTGCAAATATTTTCTCCCATTCCTTAGATTTCCTTTTCACCCTCAGTTGTTTCCTTTGCTGTACAGAAGCTTTTAAGTTTGATGTAGTCCCACCTGTCTTATTTTCTGTTGTTGGCTGTGCTTTAGATGTCACATCCACGAAATCACTAAAAACGACGTCATGAAGCTTCCCTTCATGTTTTCTTCCAGGAGATTTACATTTTTTGGTCTTATGTCTAAGTCTCTAACTCATTTTGAGTTTTTTTCTTTTTATGGTAGAAGACAGGGGTTCAATTTCATCTTTTTGCATGTGAATACCTAGTTCTTTCAACATCATTTGTTGCAGAAAATATTCCTTCCTTATTGTGCATTCCTGGCATCCTTGAAGATCAGTTGACCATATTATCTGCATGGATTTATTTGTGGGCTCTCTATTCTGCTCCATTGGTCTGTATGTCTCTTTAAGCTAGTCCCTTTGATTACTGTAGCTCTGTAAAATATTTTGATATCAAGAAGCATGATGCCAGCTGGGCACAGTGGCTCATGCCTGTAATCCCAGCACCTTGGGAGGCCAAGGCTGGTGGATCACCTGAGGTCAGGAGTTCGAGATCAGCCTGGTCGATATGGTGAAACTCCATCTCTACTAAAACAAAAGAAAAAAGAAAAAAGAAAAAAAATTAGCTGGGGGTGGTGGCACCCACCTGTAATGCCAGCTACTTGGGGGGCTAAGGCAGGAGAATCACACGAACCAGGGAGGCGGAGGCTGCAGTGGGCCAAGATTACACCATTGCACTTCAGTCTGGGCAACAGAGTAAAACTTCCTCAAAAAAAAAATTAAAAAAGTATGATGCCTCTAGCTTTGTTCTTTCACAAGACTGATTTGGCTAGTCCATGATTTTCTGTGGTTCCATATGAATTTTAGAACTGCTTTTCCTGCTTCCACAAAAAGAAAAAAAAAAAAATCCCATCAGGATTTTGAAAGGGACTATAGCGAACCTGTAGCACACTTTCTGTAATACAGGCTGGATATGCCTCATATGAAAAGTTTGGGATCTCAACTGTTTTGGATTTTGAAATATTTGCACTATACTTGACACAGGTTGAGCATCCCAAATCTGAAAATCCTGAATCCAAAACGCTCAACAAGCATTTGAGTCATGTTGATGGCTCAGAAAGTTTCAAATTTTGTAACAGCTCAGATTTTTTTTTTTTTTTTTTTTTTTTGAGACCAAGTCTCATTCTGTTGCCCAAGCTGGAGTGTAGACGTGCGATCTCAGCTCACCTCAAGCTCCACCTCCCGGGTTCAAGCGATTCTCCTGCCTCAGCCTCCCGAGTAGCTGGGACTATACAGGCACGCATCACCATGCCCGGCTAATTTTTGTATTTTTAGTAGAGAAGGGGTTTCACTATGTTGGCCAGCTAGTCTTGAACTCCTGACCTCGTGATATGCCTGCCTTGGCCTCCCAAAGCGCTGGGATTATAGGTGTGAGCCACTGCACCTGGCAAGCAGTTGAGATTTTCAAATTTGAGATGCTCAATCTGTATGGACAATTTAACAATACTAAGTGTTTTAAATTCATGAAGATCTATTAAGTGTCTTTAGTTTCTTTTTTGAGAAGGAGTCTCGCTCTGTCGCCCAGGCTCGAGTGCAGTAGTGCGATCTAGGCTCACTGAGTAGTTGGGACTACAGGCATGGGCCACCATACCCAGCTAATTTTTGTGGTTTTTTTTGTTTTTTTTTTTAAATAGAGACAGGGTTTCACCATGTTGTTCAGGCTGGTCTTGAACTCCTGACCTCAAGCAATCCACCTGCCTCCACCTCTCAAAGTGCTGGGATTACAGGCGTGAGCCACTGTGCCCAGCCCAATTTCTTTAGTTTTATGGTTCTCAGTATTGCATGTATCTCACCTAAGGAGGTGAAAGGTTAAGCTTACTCTTATTTTATTCTTTATGGTGTCAATATAAATGGGATTGTTCTCCTAATTTCCTTTCCAGATAGTTCATTGCTAGCGTATAAAAATGCAACTGATGGCGGGGCACGGTGGCTCATGTCTGCAATCCAACACTTTGGGAGACTGAGGCGGGTGGATCACCTAAGGTCAGAAGTTCAAGACCAGCCTGGCCAAAATGGTGAAACCTCGTCTCTACTAAAAATACAAAAAGTTAGCTCAGTGTGGTGGGAGGTGCCTGTAATTCCAGCTACTCGGGAGGGTGAGGCAGGAGAATCACTTGAATCCAGGAGGTGGAGGTTGCAGTGAGCCAAGGTTACGCCACTGCACTCTAGCCTGGGCTACAAGAATGCAACTCCATCTCCAGAAAAAAAAAAAAGCAACTGACTTTTGTATGCTGACTTTGTATCCTGCATCTTTACTACATTTATTAGTTCTAGTAGTTTTTTGTGGTGTCTTTAAAGTTTTCTATATATAAGATGTCACCTGCCAAAAAAGACTGATTTCTTCCTTTCTAATTTGGATGGTGTTTACTTCTTTTTCTTACCTAATTGCTCTAGGGAGGATTTCCAGTACTATATTGAAGTGATAAGAGCAGGCATCCTTGTCTTGTTCCTTGATCTTAGAGAAAAAAGTGTCAGTTTTTCACCGTTGAGTATGTTAGCTGTGGGCCCTTATTACATTGAGATAATTTCCTTCTATTCCTAGTTTGTTCAGAGTTTTTACTGGGAAATGGTATTAAATTTTGTCCAAGGCTTTTTCTTCATCTATTGAGATGCTCATGTCATTTTGCTTCTTTATTGTTAGTATGGCATATCACATCAACTAGTTTTCATGTTGAACTAT